AAATTTTCTGAATTAAATTAACCGTATCTTTATAAACATAATACAACCATACAAATTACTTTTCGAGAAATATAAAGGACAGGACGGTATACATAATGTGTACACATAAATCAATTTCCAATTCTGATATCTTAATTAAATTTCTTAAATTCGACCTGTTTTTCATCTCAGAATTTTTCTTTTTCCAATTACCAAAAGCATACACCTGCTTTTTAAAAAATCAATGTCGACTTATACCGAGATAGAACTATAATTAACATATTTACATACCTTCATCTACCACTAAAATTACTATTTCCTAGATATTTTTAAATATCCATTAAAGATCGGTAACTCGAGCGTTAAACAAACTTTCGGAGCACGAGTATTTTTTAGAAAGAACGTCCGCGCCTAGAGATTTCGGAAATCCGCAGGAACAACGAAACAACGTTGTTCAGCGTGTGTGCAGGGTCCTTTCCCGCTTCGCGGTAACTATTTTCTGCGCGGAGAGGAATTAAACAACGGGGTTAATCGCGTCGAAGGTTAGCGGCGAGTGTGGCGAGTAATATCGGCTTAGAGCCAGCTGAAAATCCTAGCCAGTGGCGAAACCGGCGTGGAACTTTTTAATTAAGCCAATCAATCCCGTCTGGATGTACGGTAATCCCGTGGATCCGGCGAGAACAGGAAACGGAATTCTCCGTGGTGCATTACGGGAATATCCTTAAGACAAATGTAGTATCAGGATAGAGGAAGTAAAAGTCTGAAGTTTTAAATAGCTTGGAGGATTTTATAACGGGAAATCAGCGTCGAATTCGTGTTCGTGCTAGTCCAAGTATTTCAACGCTGAATTTATCATGGTCGATCATTAGGTTTGAACGACCATTTTAACGTTCCGCGTTCTGAATTTGCGATTAAAAATTCTGTCTCTGCTTTCCTCGCGTAATTTCGTAATTTCATTCACGATATACGTACGTATAATTTCTTTCCATATCTACATATGTGACGAATGAGGTGTCGTTGGATCAGTACAGTCATCGCAATCTGTGTCAAATTAAAAAAAATATATTTAGAGAAAAATTAGAATGGCGAAGCCTATAATCTATGGAAAATGCGGTGGAAAAGATTGAAATTCTTTGTTTTTATTTAAAACGAAAGTGGAGAGAGTTAATTTGTTTTATTGACTTAAAATTATTTCGTTTGTGTAATTATTACCTGCGCGAAATTGGCCGTCATTCGCATTGGGTTCTAAAAAGTATCGTTTCTATCTATTAACAGGTTATTTGTCCAGTAGATTAACAATTCTAATAATCCTTCCTACCTATTAACAGGTTATTTGACCAGTTATTTTTGTTACTATATATTATTTGACCAGCCATTTCTATTATTTTATTATTTGTATATTATTTGACCAATAGATTAACAATTTTAATAATTGAATATTTGTATAATCCTTCTTATCTATTAACAGGTTATTTGACCAGTTATTTCTATTATTATATATTATTTGACCATTGAGCCATTTCTATTATTTTACTATTAGTATATTATTTGATCAGTAGATTAACAATTGTAATAATTGAATATTTGTATAATCCTTCCTATCTATTAACAGGTTATTTGACTAATTATTTCTATTATTATGTATTATTTGACCATTGAGACATTTCTATTATTTTATTATTTGTATATTATTTGACCAGTAGATTAACAATTTTAATAATTGAATATTTGTATAGTCCTTTCTATTTATTAACAGATTATTTGACCAGTTATTTTTATTATTTTATTATTTGTATATAATTTGACCAGTTATAGACAAATTCGTCAGAAAACAGTATACATACACAAATGGCTGATAGATTAGGTTAGGTGTGAACGAAATGGATATCGACGGACAATTTATGTTATAGGTACAACTCAATCCTGACGAATTACACACCTCTATCATTTTTCTCCAACCATGCAAAACTCCGACAATTAATTTCCGCAGGAAGAATAATTATTTCCCCGGCGAGTTAAACCGATAAACCAATTAGACGAAATTTTTTCCATTCAACATCACCACATCGCTTTACACCACGACCAACGAACTAACCTAACCTTTCGCAATTTCATCCCAGCTGCCGTGGCTGTCGAAGCCCAACTACGAAACACCACATCGTTTCGACGTTTGACCCCACGTTGATAAACGAAACACCGGTAATGGAAGTTAAATGGACCCCCTGCGACCAAGCAGAGTAGACACTGAACCATAACGCATCACCGCAGGACCTTGCAAAATTTCCCGCCAGAAATCATCATACTCCATCACCTGAACTGGCACTTTCCGTTCTGGCCATCATCGCCGTCGCGAAAAGGCAGCCTCGAGGAAAACCGCGATGGCCCCCATAAAGTTTAGCATTTAGACAAGAGTCTCTTCTCGCTAGAGCACGGCGTCGAGTGGTCCATTACGAGCTAAAGGGGAGGCGTCGATAGTCGTTATCCGGCGGTTATCCTGTTCCTTTTTCAGCCTCTCTTCTCGCTAAAAGGGGAAGAGCAACGCGAGCGAAATCTCCTTGGGCGTACTCCACGGAAAGGAGCTTCCATCCATCCGGTTTCTCCTTACGCCGGGGTCCGTGGTTCGTTCTCGTAATTAGGCTGCTCTCGAGGATGCTCTCCCCCTTCGACCAGCGGTCGAGCAATCTCCTCATAATTCCCGCGGCCTTATCTCGGCCGTTTCTTCGCGAGCAAACAAATCTCTGCGAGATGGAGAGGAGTCGGCGTGGCGGCGGCGTGATAAAATTAAGGGGTGCGGTTCGTTAAGGGTCTCGCGGGACCGTTCCTCGAGCACGGCGCTTCCTCCAAGGCGGCTGCCAGCTCGAGTGGTGCATTACGATGTTTACCGTTGCTCGATGCCTCGCCGGATATTGTGCCGCGATGCCGGCCCCCCGACAAGGGCTTACCAACCACTTCGCCCCTGTCTGACTCGCGCTTCCTCGAGAACATCTCGGTTTCGGGGTGGAACGGCTGTCGACACGTGTAGAGGATTCCTCGTGGATCATCCGTGGGTATTATTCGGATATGATTCTGGTGATCGAACTCTAGCTTGCGTTTCCTCTTTGATCAATTGTTCCTTGATTCCTTGGTCAGTACACAGGTGAAAAATAACGTGAATTAATTTCGAGATTGTTCCAGGAGTAGGCTGTGTAGCTAGTGAGTCGTTCACAGTGATCACTCAAAGTGATCATCTCTGTTTTCTTTATTTTTTGTAGAGTTGATTGATTGTGGTAAAGAGGTGAGACGAAGATCGTGAAATTCTACGTTTATGAGGAGTTATTCTGGGACCTGTTTAATTTTATTGTCACGTATACTAAGATTGCATTCTCGTTGCATCCAGCAATCACAATTTTCACTCTTGCAATCCCATTAGCGTTACTTTTGCCTTTTAATTAATTATTCCTTGATTTCTTGATCGATAATTAGATTGGTGGAAAACACCATAAATTAATTTAGAAATTATTCCACGAATAATGTCCACAAATAATTCCACGAATAGACTGTGCAGCTACTAAGTGGATTACAGTGATCAATTCTATTTTCTAAATTTTTTGTAGAGTTGATTGATTATGGCAAAGAAATGATACGAATATCGTGAAATTTAACGTTTATGGGTAGTTTTTCTGAGTCCTATTTGACTTCGTTGTCACATGTACTAAGATTGCATTCTCGTTGCATCCAGCAATTACAATTTTCACTCTTACAATCCCATTAGCGTTGCTTTTGCCCTTTAATTAATTATTCCTTGATTTCTTGATCGATAATTAGATAGGTGGAAAATAGTATTATTAAATTAATTTAGAAATTATTCCAGGTGTACACTATGTAACTACTAAATCGTTCACAGTGATTAACTCCATTTTCTAAATCATTTATGAAGTTAACCAATTATAGTATAAGAATGACGAAAATATCGCGCAATTCAACTTTCATATAGTTTTTCTGAAACCTGTTTGGCTTCGTTATCCCGTTGCATTCTGCAATCACAACTTTCGCCCTCCAAAATCTCAAAAGGCTCAGAGCAACGAGCTAAAAAGAACTGTTAATCAAAAACCCAGATCCAAATCCTACCTACCATCATATGCACATCGCGAATATCCTCTGTAACGAACACTGCAACTCTCTTGATTCAAATTTCCCGAGGTTGCGAGGCCCGTTACTCTGATCCGATAGGATGGAAGATGCGATCTAATGAAACTTAAATAATCCGAACCTACTTAGGATCTCAAAATAATTACGAATTGACGCATATTCGTTATAACACAATTATCGACTTTGACAATATATAACAAAGCAAATTGAAGTCATCGGTTAGGTTTAGTCATATGAATTTACACGTGGATATCCGTGTGTCAGTGTTTCTATAAGATAACAACGTGTTTCGCTTGCTTGGTGTGAGTAGTATCCGTGTATTTAAAGCAATACATACCTGTGACCATCGCCTAGAGGCATATTGCTTATAAGGAGACACGGGTCTCGGCGAGTCACGGCACGCGGGTGATAAACAATCGAAGCAATTAGAACCGGCTTCAGGAATTTCCGTCCTGAGCCCTAACATCCGGAGTATAATAACAAAAGGAAAAAAATAGCGCAGGACAAGCAGTAACACGAAACCGTCGAAGAGCACGTGGAACGAGGTCGTGCCATCGGTCCCAAGGATAGTAAGCGTCAGGAGCTCGACGAGGCATGTTGAAAATAAAGCGATACACGTGTCCGGGCGAATTCTTTCTAACGGAAGCCGTCGTGGGCTGACGAGATTCAATCAGTCGCGCAGAACCGCGTCACCGTTCGCGTCAGGCCGAGTTGGCCGCGCTTTAATCCGAAATAGGGGTCGGTGGAATGAGAGAGATGCAGTAGGGGTGCACATGTGAGTACGAGGGAGAGAGAGTGAGTGAGAGGGACAGAGAGCGGGGGCTTTTAAGCCTCCAACGCGGCGTAACTTTCCGGAAAGTCCTGACGAACTTTGGCCTCGTTGCTTGTTGCAGCTGTCCGCCATCGTCGATGGGATTTACGCGGAACATGGCCACACTGCGGGCTCGTTCACACATTTGGCGAGCGATCGACTGCTGGTGGGCGGAGGCGCCGACGCGAGATCCCTGCAGGGCGCCAAGGGGATCAACAACTTCGTCGGATGCCTGAGGAAGGTAAGCGAGATCCGTTCGTTCGTGGGATCGACGTGATCCACTTTACCTCTCGCGATTTATTTAGCCGGTGTAATAGCCGGCCTGAAGCCACTGAGCCGGGCATACGCGAGCTATTGGCTTGTTCGCAAAGTTTCTAGTGTTTTTAACGGATCACTGCATTCAACCCTGTAGACTCTAGGGTATCTAGCCGGGCTTTCAAGTAGGTTGTTTAGCGCGAATTTTTGTGGAATAATTAGATTCTTCATTTGGAGGGGTTGAATGGACGTATTGGATTTGAAGTTGAGTCTCTTAGTTCGATGAAGAGCTAAAAATTTATTCCAATGTAGCTGGATAAATTGCGTTTATGTACAGTATAGTATGATGTACTAGTAGTATTATCTGATTATTTCGCTTTTCATTTTATGGCATGCATAAATTAGTTAATAAAATTCCGAAAGTTAGCAAAAATACTTGTAGCGCGATACCTTGGATTTTTCTTTGCTTGACAATGTAAGCAAGGAAAGATTAGCACCCCTAATTAAATATTAATTAAATATTACTAATATTTATTAAATATATCATATATTTATTAAATATTGCTTAAATATTACGCTTTTTCAAAAATATATCGATTAAAGAATTAATTGGAAATTGAAGTTATTAAAAGGTTAAAATCTTCGTTACACCGATAGCGACCATAGTTGTGCATTTTTAATTTGTTATTGTGAGATACGAACACGTCGTGACATCTGTCGTCGTTTTGCCCGAACATACAGAAGTGAAAAGGTTGAAAAATTTTATTATACAAATCATGGAATTGCATAATAAGTTTTTATTATTTATTAATCTTTTGATAGTTTCATTTAATCTCACAATGCAGTTCAAGTTTATCCATTTTTCACTTTCCGTAAACACTACTAAAGCAGTTCTTTCATTTATAATGTATTATATTATGAGTAATTAATATTTATAATGAATAGAGTGATATTAAAGAATTCTATACGTAGTCATATTTCGCGCGCGTTCTTATATTTCGTGTAGTTGAATCTACGCATGCGTTACTTTCACGCAACTGTTCATGCGCAGTCCACTATAGCGTCACGTTACTGCGTATGTTCTCGAGTATTTTGAAGAAATTTCAAGTAAAGAATAGGCGTTTTCATCAATCCGACTGGGGATAACATAGAGCAGAGAGAATAAGACGTCCATTCCATGTGTCCTTAATTTTGAGATGCATAGTTAGGATGAAACGACATACGAAGGGTAAGTCGATCGTTTTATGATTTGTCTGGCGTTTCGTTGTGTCGTACGACGAACGATTCGGAACGACTCATAACGCCAGTTGTACTTTATCGTTTTCTTCGCGAGCACAACGATCACGATTTCGTATACGTATGTGTAGATTAATATTTCATTTGAAATTATGGAACAATAAAATCAACAAAGAAAGTATAGAAATGTTAGATTGAAAAATTTTATTATACGCGTCATGAAATTGCATAATAATTTTGGATTATTTATTAATCTTCTGCTACATCAATTTTACACTGCAGTTCTATCCATTTTCCAATTTTTTTGAATACTGCGAAAGCAGTTATTTTATTTCTAAGTAATTGATATTGGAAATGAATGGTTTCGGAATAAATAGTTTTGGGTGTGGTCATATTTCGCGTGCATTGTAATATTATGTGTAGAAGAAATTGTGAACTGCGCATGCCTTAGCGTCGCGCGCATTCTGACGTCATACGTAGATGAAATTGCAAACTGCGCATGCGCGACTATCGCGCAACTGTTCATGCGCAGTCCATTATGGCGTCATGTCACCGCGTATGTTCTCGCATGTTTTGAAGAAATTTCAAGAAACGAAAAGACGTTTTCATGAACCCGACTGGTGATAACATAGAGCAGAGAGAGATGATATTATGACAAGAGATGCGTCCGTTCCATGTGTTCTTAATTTCGAGATGCATAGCTACCGTGAAACAGCATACGAACGGTGAGTCGGTCGTTTTATGATTTGTCTGGCGTTCTGTTGTGTCGTACGACGAACGATTCGGAACGACACAGGACGCCGGTTGTACGTTATCGTTTTCTTCGCGAACACAACGATCGCGATTTCGTATAAATGTGTGTAGGTTAATATTTCATTTGAAATTATGAAACAATAAAATCGATAACGAAAGTATAGAAATGTTACATTGAAAAATTTATTGTACGCATCATGAAATTGCATAATAATTTCTTATTATTTATTAATGTTTTGCTACATCCATTTTACAATGCAGTTCTTAGAGTTTATCCGTTTTCCAGTCTTTTCAAATACTGCTAATGTAGTTCTTTCATTTCTATGTAAGTGATATTAGTAATTAATAGTTTCGGAATAAATAGTTTGGGTGTGGTCGTATTTTGCGTGCATTGTAATATTACGTATAGAAGAAATTGTGAACTGCGCATGCGTTAGCGTCGCGCGCATTCTGACGTCATACGTAGATGAAATTGCAAACTGCGCATGCGCGACTATCGCGCAACTGTTCATGCGCAGTCCATTATGGCGTCATGTCACCGCGTATGTTCTCGCATGTTTTGAAGAAATTTCAAGAAACGAAAAGACGTTTTCATGAACCCGACTGGTGATAACATAGAGCAGAGAGAGATGATATTATGACGAGAGATGCGTCCGTTCCATGCGTTTTTAATTTCGAGATGCATAGCTACCGTGAAACAGCATACGAACGGTGAGTCGGTCGTTTTATGATTTGTCTGGCGTTCTGTTGTGTCGTACGACGAACGATTCGGAACGACACAGGACGCCGGTTGTACGTTATCGTTTTCTTCGCGAACACAACGATCGCGATTTCGTATAAATGTGTGTAGGTTAATATTTCATTTGAAATTATGAAACAATAAAATCGATAACGAAAGTATAGAAATGTTACATTGAAAAATTTATTGTACGCATCATGAAATTGCATAATAATTTCTTATTATTTATTAATCTTTTGCTACATCCATTTTACAATGCAGTTCTTAGAGTTTATCCATTTTCCAATTTTTTTAAATACTGCTAAAGTAGTTCTTTCATTTCTATGTAATTGATATTAGTAATTAATAATTTCGGAATAAATAGTTTTGGGTGTGGTCATATTTTGCGTGCATTGTAATATTACGTATAGAAGAAATTGTGAACTACGCATGCGCTAGTTTCGTGCGAATTCTAACATCTCGCGAAGATGCAGTTGCAATCTGCGCATGCGTTAGCGTCGCGCGCATTCTGACGTCATACGTAGATGAAATTGCAAACTACGCATGCGCGACTATCGCGCAACCGTTCGTGCGCAGAAGTCCATCCATCATGGCGTTCGTATTACCGCGTATTTTCTCGAGTGTTTTGAAGAAATTTCTAGAAACGAATAGACATTTTCATCAATCCGACTGGAGATACCATAGAGCAGAAAGAACAAGGCGTACGTTCCATGTTTTGTTAACTTCGGGCTGTATAGTTATGGTGGAGCGGTATACGAACGGTGAGTCGATCATTTTATGATTTATGTGTTGTTTTGTCATGACATACGATGGACGATTCGAGTCGTTTGCGTCGCAAGCATGGCGGTCACGAGTACTTCTATAGGTTAATATTTCATTTGTGCAGGGTATACGTGTATGGTATGTTATCTAGTTTTATCAGGGTATTTTCGCTTTTCCTCTATTAAAGAGTGCTAACACGAGTCAATTGCAAATTCAGAAATCTTTAGTTGTTCGTTTTACTCATTTCAGCTTTCTTTTCTCCCTCGATTTTTAATTGTGTGCTAGTATCTATGACAGAAATGTTTACGAAAAGATGATATATACGCGAAAGAGAGAATTTAATTAGTTATCAGTGATTATGTATAGTCATGGCTCATATAGGAAAGTGTACGTACCTGCCGAGTTTGTCCGAAAACTCACGATCGTTGCCGACTTTCGTAATAATTATTTTCTATTAGTATAGTCTATTGAATATTGGATATTACAGATTAGAGAAGATGTTGAAATAATTATTTTCTATTAGTATAGTCTATTGTGTATTGGATATTACAGATTAGAGAAGATGTTGAAATTTGTTGAACAGTGTTATTAGCTAATAAAATAAATAACGCTGTGTTTTTAAATGCGAATAAGAATTCGTGCTTTGATTTCGTATACTGGGCATAATTGTGGCTGAGAATTCATGATTTTGTTTAGTTTATACACTGTGATCCGTATTCATCGGTGTACAAATTCCTCGAGTATTTAAATCTATGGAAAATCTGTAGTGCAAATTCTTTTGTGAGAAATATTTATTTTTAAATTATAGGTCATAATAATAGGGGTCTCTCGTATTCTCTATGATACTATATGCATCATAAAACCGATAGGAAAATCTTCGAAAGAATATTTCAAAATATATCAAATTTGGTGCGTAGCCCTTAGCCTGGTATTATTTTCCAAAAATATTTTTTTTTGAGAGTAATAACAATTACCAGATCTCACCAGGTAGAAATTGAAATGGATACCTTAATTTAACTTGAAGCGAATTAAATTAAAGTGACTTTACTGATACTTTATTAAATATCGTGTCTTACGAAAGGGATTTTGATTCGGTATACTAAAATTCTACTATCGCAACGCTAAGATATTTCATTACAGCGGACTCTAATATTTCCAAGTTCCTATGAAAATAGGGAATGAAATACCAAAGACGCGAGCAAGTTAAAAATCCGGACGCGCCGTTATAGTAATCAAATTTTTAACCAGTCAAATTGGCTCGCTCCGTAAATCTAGTGTTAAAAGATAAAACCGCATATCCGCATTGCGAGCCAAATATCCGACATAAACTGCGCACAAATGCCTCGACTTCATATTTCTGCTTTAATGGAATAAAGAAATTATTTAGCGACGCTTTTCGTCGCACAAAACACGGAGAAATTGCTAAGAAACCTAATTATTTTGCGGATTTTCATTCCACGAAAAGCGTTCAACCAAATTATTTCATATTCTTTATA